ACGAAGCCGGCGGAGATGGTGATCGACGCCTACAGCCACGGGCAGCGCAGCTTCGGGGAGAACTACGTGAGTTACGGGGGCCCCCGCGCGTGGGGAGCTGGGGCTGGTCACAGCATCGCGGCCCCAGTCGGGGATTTGAGGCACAGATTGGTCCCAGGAACATCCCTCCCAGAGGGACCGTTCTTAGGGTGTGGGCACATGTGGCGTGGTTTTAACGAGAGGTTGTCTTGGATTCTCCTAGGTTCAAGAGTTGCTAGAAAAGGCATCAGACTCCAGAGTAAGTAGATAGTTCCTTATCTGATCTCTCTCCTTGTATAGCTGTCTCCTGCTCCTGAAAAAAAAACTGGTTTTTGTTAGGGATTTGGCAGTAGAGGGTGTTCAATCCTTGTCTTTTCAGATAAACGGGTTATTCTTAGCTCTCTGCCTCTGTCCCTTTCCCCCTCGTTGTCTTGCTGGCTCCAGAGGATTCTGTGAATACCTGCACCTTAGTCACAAAGTATTTACCTGAACAGTGCCTTGTCTTTTGTGCTCCTGCTGTAGGAGAGGCACAGTTCTCATTAAAACAAACAAACAGTAACACTTAGTTTAGACAAAATGTCATGGTTCAGTTACAAAAGAACTTTGCCTTCCCCACTGGGCTGTGATCCTCTGCAGCCACAGCCCCGTTCCTCTCCAGACTGTGGAGCAATCTGAGTACAGCCACAAGCACTGCCTGAGCTGTGTAAACAAAAGAAGAAGATTTGGTGTCTGGTACTTTGTTTGTGAGCAAACTAAGACTTAAGTACTGTGTAGTTCCCCTAGGGAATTGTCATTCAAACCGAACTGTTCCTCTTTGCTTTCAGATTCTGTCCTCTTGTCCCGAGATTAAGTGGCATTTTATTGGCCATCTGCAGAAGAATAACGTCAACAAGTTGATGGGTAAACTGTTTAATTTTATGTGCAGCCACCCTGTGGGCAACAGCCTTCAGAAATAACAGCCTCACATTAACTCCCTGGTGCCTGTCTCTGAGAGCGAGCCGAGCTGTAGGTACAAAAGCTTCTGTGCCAGCAGAATTGCCCTCAGCCTCTTTTCTCTGCAGCTGTCCCGAACCTGTTCATGTTGGAAACGGTGGATTCTGTGAAACTGGCAGACAGAGTCAACAGCTCGTGGCAGAAAAAGGGGTCGTCCCAGAAGCTGAAGGTCATGGTGCAAGTTAACACGAGTGGAGAAGACAGTAAGTGCCTTTTTCTGGTGACAGGCAGGTTTGTCCTGCTGACGGGACAGAAACAGCCTGAATGGGCTGGGTGAAACTTGATCATCTGTCGGCTTTGGCCTGGCTCTGGCAGAGCTTGGCACGAATCTCCCCACTTCTTGCCAGGCAAGCACGGCCTTCCTCCTGGAGACACCACGGCCGCCGTGGAGCACGTCATCAACAAGTGTCCAAGCCTGGAATTTGTGGGGCTGATGACGATCGGCAGCGTCGGGCACGACCTTAGTAAGGGGCCAAATCCTGACTTCCAGGTAAGATTTTTTCTAGGAGAGAATGCCAACTGTTGGCTGGCCTCCTGCTACAGCCTGTTGTCCGTCCCAGTCAAACCAGTACGCGGTCAGGCTGACATGAATCTGTCTGACTGAATCTGTAGGTTGTCAATAGGAGCACCTTGCTCAGAGCAGCTCGGAGCTCTGAAGTGTTGGGTTAATGCAGCCGTTAGGCTCGTTTCTGCAGAGGTGTCTGTGTGTGGCTCTCGGAAGCTGCTGCCAGGGGCACTTTGTGCAGCAGTTGCTGTCCTGGCCCCTCTGGCCCTGCTTCCCCGTGAGTCAGGCTCCCTCCCCCAGCGCACTGTGTGCATCAGGTTGAGGAACCGGGGCTGCGTTCCTCATCTGTTGTGCCAGCGTGGTAACTGAGCGTCTTCGGAAGGTGCGTGGGCCTGTAGGTCCGTGTGTTGTCAGTCACGTAGCCTGTCGTGGGAAATCTCCAGGCACTGTTACGGTGCTGAGAGCAAGCTGCATTGGGAAGTGTGGGAGCTGCACGTTCTGTGTGAAGGCGGCTTCAAAGAAAGGCAGAAATCGTGATCAGTGAGAGCTGAAACGGAGCTGACGTGGCTGCCAAGCGTGTGATCCTCTCTCCTCCCCTCTAGATGCTGCTGTCTTTGCGGCAGGGGGGGTGTGAGAAGCTCCATCTCCCTGTTGAGAAGGTGGAGCTGAGCATGGGCATGTCCACAGACTTCCAGCACGCAGTAAGTCTGGTTTCCTTCTGCCACCCCTTCCCTCTGCAGCAGGTGCCCCAAAAACCAGCTCCCCTGGCCCTGGGGTAGAGCTCTGCGGTTTAGAATAGACCCGGTGGTGAGAGTGTGGGGACCCCCCATCCTGCAGTGACACGTCGAGGTGCCCGCAGCAGCAGGCTCGGGTGACAGTCCTGCCCTCAGCTCCTCCTTTCTGTCTCTTCCTAGATAGAGGTTGGCTCCACAAACGTCAGGATTGGAAGCACTATTTTTGGAGAGCGAGATTATTCCAACAAAGCGGTCGGTGGCGAGGACCCTGCCAAAACAAAAGGCGAAGCGGAGACCTTGGCAGTGCAGGGTCAGTAGATGAGGAAAATAAAAGAAAAAAAAAAGTGGGCTCGACAGAGGACGGGTGATGGGAGACCTCACTGTGCATTCTTACCTCCCTCCGTGTCGGCATCCGATTGTGATGATGAGAGGGAATTCCTCGTAACGGAACAGAAATGCCTTGTAATTTCTTGTGATTATAGAGTTCCCCGTAGGAACTGGAATTTTTTATAACCCACAAATGATAAGAAAATTTACGATTGAAGCTGACTTTGGTGTCTGGCTCCATCAGGGTTATTAAGGACAGTGACTTTCAGATGACTAGATTGAACAAACTAAATATTTGTCGGGGTGGAGTTTCTCACGAGCAGGATGTATCTGCAACAGTGTCAGTGATCATGCTTCCGCTGGAAACTAAATTCTTCATTAAACAAGTTATGACCTTGCCGGAGAGCTAGAAATGTTTCCCCAAGTACGTTTTGCACGTGGTCACTGCTTACACAGAAACCAGTAGAGCCGCGCTGTGACACTGGAGAGGTGACACCACCCGAGCGAGCAGAGGACGAGCAGTGAGCACCAGGGCTGGGCGAGGAGCACAGCCGCCGGGTAGGCCCGTGGCACCACGTGTTGGATGCAGATCCTGAGTGTCTTTTCAGCTCGAGTTCCTATTTGTCCTTTTTCAGGCTGACACCCCTAACTTTCCCCACTGGTTCTGTGTCTGCTCAGCTCCTCCGGGACGCTTCCAACCTTCCCCTTGCCCTCTTGTGAAGTGTTGTTGGGAGTTACTTTCATCCTGCGTAGTAGTTCTGGACACTGTAGGTTCTTTTTTGGTCAGAATGGGGCTTCTCTGCGAGGTCTGGGCTGTACTGTCAGCTTGCTGTTGCTTTTTCAAGGCAAGTCACTTCATTGTTTGGTGCCTCCACTGTCCCGTCTGCATCTGTGCGAGGAGGAGAGTACTTGCTTGTCTCGGAGAGCAGCAGTGAGGTTTGCTGGAGGCCCTTTGGCAAAAGTACTTCCAGAAGTAAAAGCAGGGTTGTTCCGCTGTGTTCTGGGTCCCTGAAAACAAATCCTCTCGCCACTGACAGAGCTTCTAGGCTGTGTCTTGATCTATTGAGCGCTGGTCTAGCCTTCGTATCTCCTGGGAGGGGACTCTTCCACTGCAGTAACTTTCATTCAGATGGGAGCGAAGCTCTCACATTCTGTCACGTAATACAGCAAGTTTCTTGTAACCTGTGTCACAACATCTTGGGGCTTTTGTGTGCTGCTGAGAGGAGGAGACACCGGTTGCTGGCAGAAACATCCCTCCCCATGCTTTTCTCTGTGTGTGTGTGGTTAAATCTAGCTGTTGGTTTTACTCTCTGACTATAAATGCTGAATGTAAATGAAAAGAGTCAACTCTAACACCAACCTGTCATAGCTACGTGGTTTAGAAGCAACACGCAGCCGGAGCTGCCCTCCTCGGCACTGCAGCGTGTGTCGTTTCATATCAATAGTCTTATCAATAAAAAGTGGTGAATTTTAATACCATCTGTGCCAACTAAAGCTATTAAAGATGTTATTTTTATGTTCTAGCGTTGTGAATAAATGCCCCGAGTCGCCATCGAGGCTGTTTTCCCAGCCTGGAGCTGCTGGTGAGCAGGAGTCGCTTGGCTTGGGGTGGGGGCAGGAGGGTGGTTTGAAAGAGCTGGGACCGAGCTGGCAAAACTGGCGAAGCTTTCTGTGGTCAAGTGGAAAGAAGGAGCCGAGCTGGGCAGGGTGAGCGGTTTCTGGGGAAGCCTCTGGGTGGCACTGCTCCCCTGGGCCCGCAGCGACCCATAGAATTGTGAAAAGAGTTGGGCTGGAAGGGACCTTTAAAGGTCAAAGAACGAGGCTCAAAAATACCCATTTCCCATCCGATGGCTGAAGCGAGTCCCTTCCTCTCCCTCCTCTCCCTTTCCCAGAACTCCAGCACTGACCGCGGATCCTCATGGTTATGCAAGTTTCACAACGTTAAAAGCCTTTTGTTTGTTTGACAGAGCAAAGGCGCGACACTCGCTCTGTCCGGCTTCGGTTCCAGCTGCAGAGTCTGCCGGTATCCCTGGGGTGTGTTTGCTGCTTGCGAAAGGTTGGCTGGAGCTCTCCACAGCAAACGAGGAACCAAAGTGAGCTGCTCCCTGAGCCTGCAGAGCTGTCGCCAGCCTGCTGCTCCAAAACCAGCTTCTGTTGGGGCATGGAGTAGCGGGGTGGGTTTTCATTGGGAATCGTCTTGCGTTATGGCTCACATCCCCTCTTGCTTTTCCTCTCCCGGGCATCTTGTTGAAGCTGGACCCTAGCCAAGCTTATGAAATAGTAAATGGGGTAAAGTGGGAGGTGAGTGTGCACGAGGGGCTGTGGGGCCGGGCAAGGCTTGTCCTGGCCTCTGCGCCCCAGAGCTCTGGCTCGGCACAGCGCTGCTGTAGGAGTGTGTGGTCCTCTGCTTTTCTGATCTCCTCGCACACCGTCTGCTAAAACGTTTAGGGCTCCCTCAGCTTTGGCGGTGACCTCCTGCGTGAGACCGTGGTGGAGCTGCCTGCGTCTCGGTGGTCCTGGAGAGCCTGGGGGTGCTCTCAGCTTCGGGACCCCTCTCCCCTCCAGCCGGGCTGTGTCCACCCTGCGGGGAGCCGCGGCTGTGACAAAGGTGCTGGAGAGGAGAACAGGGAGAGCATCTGCTCCCATCCTCTGCAGCTGTTTTTCTTGCCCGTCCTGCTTCCAACGGGCTTTGCTCTTCCAACTGCGTCGTCCCCAAGAGCTTTGCCGTGTCCTTCCCCGTGCCGGTGCCCACCGGTGCCAAGTGTTCCCTCAAACCCGAGTCGGGCGGGTGGGGGGGCGGCGTGGCGGGGACGCGGGGGACCTGC